GGTGCCCTCCTCCTGATGACGTCGTACAAATATCGCGCATTTGCCACTCCACTATAAGTCGAATAAAACTGAAAACTGCCCTCTGGTGAACTTGCTTCTAACATTATCTGTCCATCTTCATTTTTTGCAGTTGCTAACATAATGATCTGACCTGGGCCTACGTAAGTCTTCAATGTCGTATCCAGGAATGACCACAGCTCCATCATAACCTTCCAGATATGGACATTGATACTCAATATCGATGGCCGGACCCATACTATCTGCCCTCCTTCTTCCAGATATTTTTTACAAGCTATTACTGCACCCTTAATGGCTTCGTCTTCTTTTCTGATCTAGTGGCCAAACGATGATCCAAACTCGGCAATTCTTCAGCTTCTCGAGCTCCTTTCAGTTGGCTGAATTGGACGATTACTTTCGTCATAACGCCGCACCTTAGCCCATCCTTCTCCAGAGATCCTGCGCACCTAGGCGCCAAAAATGCAACTGGACCATGTTTTCTTGGCCACTGACTCTTCTCCGTCAAAGCCATCTCTAGTTTCACTGCCTTCAGTGCCTCGTCGTACAGCTTCTGGACGTCATAGCTTCTCACAGGTGCATGCTTTTTTACACCGCTTTTGCTGCAGATGGATTCCGTCCATGATGTACACTTTTCAAAAGCTAGTAGTAGAGCCTTTTCTAGCGATTTCGCATCCAGACAAGTTGCTCCCTCACGATAGAGCCCTATCTTCTTTCCAAGGTCCAGATCACTGCTTGCGAATATGCTAACAGCCGTCCAAGCTTTCCATACTGTGCCGATGGGTTCTCTCCCGAATGCGCCAGGAAACTTCACTCCGTTTATGTCGCTTAAGTGTGAATTCAGTAAGCAACTGTCCAAACATTCGTAGAGGAGGTGGCCCGGCTGTGATTCTTCATTGATGCACGCATCTCTGAAATATGAAAATATTGAAAAAGATATAGTATTTGTTTTATCCCCCTTTTTCCTCTAGAGCTTACCGTGTCAATGCGATCGTTTGAAATCTCCAGTGGCAACCCCTAACATGTCAAACTGAACTCTTATATCTTATGAAGAGCCAACCTGATGTTGATGAAATTTTTGAAAACTCCATACGTGAACTAATTCTTGTTGCTACCTCCTCACAAAACTTGGCTAAATAGCTCTTACTTGATTCGTTATTGTGCCTCGCTCAGGTAGACATTCGGTGGGTGATGTCGAATCTGAACTGGAGCAGCCTACGGTAGAGCGCGGCCCCTCAGCTTTCGAT